ACCCGCCCGCCCGCCCGCCGATTCAGGTCCACCCGCCCGCCCGTCCCTTGGGATCCGCCCGCCCGCCCGCCCAGAAGGGTCCGCCCACTCGCTTGCGTGATGGCCCCCCCCCGCTTTCTAACGTTCCGCCTGCCGGTTCGGGTCTGCCCGCCCGTCAGAGCCCGCCCGCCCACCCATCCCGCTTGTTGGGGTCTGCCCGCCGCCCACAGGTATTAGGGGCCGCCCGACCGCCCGTCCGCTAGGGTCCGCCAGCGCGTCCCCCCGCCCGTCCGCCCGAACCCCAGCGAAGCGAACCTCAGCGAAGCGAACCTCAGCAAAGCTGGCCCACGGCGAAGCGAACTACAGCAGCGAACCCCAGCGACGCGAAAGCCCAGCGACGGAGCGAACGCCGGCGAAGCGAACCCACGGCGAAAGCGAACCTGCGGCAAGGCGATCCCCCCCCCCCGCGAGGCGGACCCCGGCGAAGCAAAACCCCTGCGACGACACGAACGCCAGCGAAGCGGACGCATATGGCGAAGCGATGATGATGATGATGATGATGATGATGATGATGATGATGATGATGATGATGATGATGATGATGATGATGATGATGATGATGCTGATGCTGATGCTGATGATGCTGATGCTGATGCTGATGATGATGGTGATGGTGATGGTGATGGTGATGGTGATGATGATGATGACGATGATGATGATGATGATGATGATGATGATGATGGTGATGGTGATGCTGCTGCTGCTGATGATGATGATGATGGTGATGGTGATGGTGATGGTGATGATGACGATGATGATGATGATGATGATGATGATGATGATGATGATGATGTTGATGATGATGATGATGATGATGATGATGACGACGATGATGATGGTGGTGGTGGTGGTGATGAAGATGATTATGATGATGATGCTGATGATGATGATGACGACGATGCTGATGATGATGATGATGCTGATGATGATGATGATGAATCTGATGATACTGACGCTGATGATGCTGATGATAATGCTGATGCTGATGATGCTGATGATGCTGATGCTGATGCTGATGATGCTGATGATGATGGTAATTGCTGATGATGCTGATGATGGTAATGATGGTGATGAGGATGGTGATGATGATGATGATGATGATGATGATGTTGATGATGAATGCTGATGAATGCTGATGCTGATGCTGAAGATGAAGATGATGAGGCTGAAGATTATGATGATGACGCTGACGATGATGACGATAATGATGATGATGATGTTGATGATGATGTTGTTGTTGATGATGATGGTGATGATGATGATGGTGATGATGATGATGATGATGATGACGATGATCATGATGATGACAATGATGATGATGATGAGGAGGAGGAGGAGGAGGAGGAGGAGGAGAAGGAGGATTTTTGAGATTCTGGCAAACAGGGGTTACGAGTGCAAGCTCGGTTCTGGCACCAGACAGTTACGGGGCTGGGAAGGTCATGCCGTACTTTTGGGGCTTACCTTCCGCCGGCTTGTCCTTCCGCCGGCCTGTCAAGGTTGCGCCTGCCAGTCGCAGACGGCTCAGATCGCAGACCGCAGACGGCTCAGGGGGGGATGGCTGGGCAGTCCTTGTGCAATGCTGACCGCGAAGCTCCCACATGCCCGACACCAAGAAAAAACTTGTGGATTCAGCCAGAAAGTGCGTCGAATGTGCACGCCCAAAGCATGGATGCCCTCTCGGATTCCCCAGGGTCGGGCCCGGCAGCCGACGAGGAGCCCAACGCAGCCGACGCAGATGACCCTAGCACGAAGTCGGGCGTGTCCCTCTGCAGAAGGAAGATTCAAAAGTAGTCAAAAAATTAGATGGGGACGACTTTTCTAGTATTTTTTACCATGTGGGAGTATTATTTGAGCATTTTTCATTTCTTCTCCAAAATCCGCCTGTAAGGGGGACACGCCCGACCTAACCCTAGCACACGCGCCCAGGACACTGACGGGACCAGAAGCTAGTTAGTTTGCATCTGACAGCAGGGAGCTCACACAAACAACGTGCACATTGAAAAGAGTCACCAACTTTGGGGATGGAGCTAAGTCGAGCCTGTCCCTCTACAGGAGAAAGATTCGAAAATAGTCAAACATCGTCTGGGGACTATTGTTTGATTCTTTTGGGCCATTTGGGGAGCATGTTTTGAGTATTTTTTATTGTTCGTCGAAAATCCCCCTGTAGGGGGACACGCCCGATTGAAGGATGGAGTGACCTTGCACGGTTAGCCTTTGCTTACGAGCATTCATCGAGCTGGCCCCCCACTCCTTGTGGTGCCCTCTGCCTATTCGATCCTCGCGCGTCCTCGGGCACGCGAGGTAGACGTGCCGAGAAACGGCAGGGAGCCTCCTCATCACAGAGAGGCAGTTCTCATCTGCATTCTTTACGTCATGATGCCTTTCCTCGGGTAGGGCCTCCCCGCTTGGCAGCTTCCCCCACGAGTAATCAGCAAAATCGTTGGCGACCAATCCTTGGGGGGCCAGGGAGGAGTAAGAGGAGGAGGAGGAGCCAGAGGAAGAGGCGGACCCCTGGCCACTGTTACTGCTGGCGCTGGCCTGGTCCTGCCCGATGCGTTCGCTGGGCGTGTCTTCTCCTCCTCGTCCTCCTCCTCCTCCACATGTTACATTCCTTTCATTATAGGTATCTCCTCCCTGTTGCACCCCGAGGCGTGTCGGTAGGGCGGGGCGGACGTTTCGCCTGAGACGTCCTCACCACTTCTGATCCTGAAGCTCAGAGTTTGCGAAAGTTTCACGGATAGAGGGCGGTCTGTTTTCAACATTTGGTCATCGCTTTAACGCCGCGCACATTCGCAACGTAATTTACAAGAGCTTCACGGATGGAAGGCGGTCCGCTTTCAAAATGTGTTTCTCGCCGTAGCGCCGTGCAGATTCGTTTTAAAAGATGGAGAGATTTCGTTGATGGAGGGCGGTCCGCTTTCAAAATGTGGCTCTCGCTATGGCGCTGCGCGCATTCGTTTTAAGAGTTTACAGCAGCTCCAAGGGTTCCCATGACTAACGTCCCAGAAATTGTGTTTCGGCACAATGTCGGAATGTCCAGGTGCAACATTTACGTTGATTCGCGATGCAGGATCGTCAAGACGCAACAGTAAGGGTGATTCGTGACGTTGGATCCTCATCCTCCTGCTCCTCCTGCTCTTCCTCCTCCTCCTCCTCCTCCTCCTCCTCCTCCTCCTCCTCCTCCTCCTCCTCCTCTTCCCCCCCGTAGCCATTGTGGCTCAAGATGACGACCTGGGGGGCTGTCCAGCTTCCAGGCCGTAGGGAGACCTCTGGACCGAGGACAGTTCCCAGACGGGCGTCGGGCGCGCTCGGCACCGCTGCAGCCATGGGGAGTGGCGGCGGCGGACGCGGGGCGGGCAGCGCCTGGTCGGGGACCCCGAATCGCCAGAGGGTTCCCCCGTGGAAGAGGGAGCAGCAGTCGGCAGCAGCTACGTGGTGTGTGACGGGTGCAGCAGATGGCGCTACTGCAAGAATATCACCAGCAGGGGCGACCTCTGCATCTGCGGCAAGAACCTCGCCTGCCTCGTCCCCGACGGCCATGTCTTCCGTGACGACGATGGTGGGTGGCTGGCAGCACAGCCCCAAGGAGGAACCTCGCCCAGGATCAGTTGGGCAGATGGTTGGCAGCCAGGTGGTGGTGCAGGCGGGAAAGGACAAGGAGGCCAACGCCAGCCACCACCTCACGACAAGACTGTCGACCTCAAGGCTGCCGCCGCAGCAGCTTACAGCAAGCTCAGCAAGGACGACCCGCTCAGGCAGCACTACGAGGCCCTCTGGCCAGAGCTCGCCGCAGCCAAGCCACCAGCAGATCAACCAGTCGTTGGATTCAAGGCAGTGGAGGCAGCTGCTCGACGCTTGGGCAAACTCCAGAAGAAAGTACGATCGGCAGGGGAGCAAGTTGAGAGTGCCCAGCAGTACTTGGCTGAGAGTGAACGCAAGCTTCGTGAAGCCATGGAAGCCTCCATTGCAGCCGAAGATGAGTTCGACAAGCTCAAGGCCACAGTCGGCAAGCAAGAGGCACCAGCTGAACCTGCAGCCGAGAAGCCAACTCTGGCAGCCCTCCTGGAGCAGTTCGAGCATGAGCCTGACGACTTCCACAAGTGGTCCGAGCCTGACAACGAGGCCTGGCGGGCAGCAAAGGCCACAGGCGAGCGCATGGCCCAGACGGTCAAGGAGCACGAGGAGGAGACGGCGAAGCACCTGCGACTACTGGAGGAAGAAACGGCCAGGCACCAGGAGCAGCTGCGCCAGCTCGAGCAGGCCCGCACCAAGCGCCTGTCAAAGAGCGAAGAGCAAGACCCAGCAGCAGCAGAAGCCCCACCAGGCAAGCGAGTCTGCGCCGCCAGCCCAGCCCCTCAGCGAGGCGCCACCACATGCACTGAGGCAGCAGGGACAGCCGCCGCGGCTGCGCCCACCGGCGCCGCAGCAGCTGCCCAACCAGAAGCAGGCGCAGCAGAACATGACAAAGCAGAAGAACGCCGAGCCAGAGTGGAGGCCCACACCCAGGAGGCGCGAGAGAAGGTCTCGCAGGCTAGGCGCGCCGAGACAGTCGTCGACGCAGAAGGGCAAGGTGACCACTCAGCAGGGTAGCCGCCCCAAGGCGAGCGCGAAGAAGGCTCGCCGCCCGTGCCGCATTGACTTCTTCAACGTCATGACCTGGGGCCCCCAGGCACAGGGCTACCTCGTGGAGGCCAACAATACCAAGGACAGGGGCATCATTGGCATCGCGGAGCACCACCTCCGCCATCCTGCGCAGATTAGCAAGGCAAGAGCGGCGCTCAGGAGGAATGGCATGCACAGCTACTGGACCAAGGCACGGCCAGGAGAAGGAGAAGGCACTCGAGGAGGCACGTGTGCCATCACGCGAGGATCCTTGGACATCCAGGACAGGATCGCGGGTTTCGATGAGCACTACCTGCACGAGGACGGCAGTGACGTCACGGTGGTGATCTCCAACCTGCACAAGGTCCGTTTCGCAGTGGCTTTCGTCTACCTTGAGTGTGGGACGGGCTTTGGAGAGAGGAACGTCGACATCCTCTGCGACCTGCGGGAGAAGATGGCCGTCTGGGGAGGGCCCTGGGCAGCGCTTGGGGACTTCAACATGACGCCGTCGGAGCTCAACAACAGCATTTGGCCCAGGGTGCTGAATGCTCAGGTAGCTGCGGCGGAGGATGGCGCCCCCACATGTTCCCCAGCAGTAGGTGAGGCCAGGTGCATCGACTTCGCGCTGATATCGCAGGGCCTGGCGCCGTATTTCGACCAGCTGGAGCTGCTCAGGACCGCGCCGTGGAAGCCGCACATCGGCATCCGCTTGAAGCTGAAGGGGCGGCCTCTCATGCTCAAGGGCGGGGTACTTCGCAGGCCAGCAGCCATTAAGCCGCCAGTCACAGTCGAGAGAACGCCGAAGTCCAGAGCCGCTTGCAGACGAGCGGCGCGCGGAGGCCAGGAGGCCATGCGCCGACGTCAGCAAGCGTTGGCAGAGGCAGGACGCGACCTGGACGAGAACGACATGGAGCCAGTGCCGCAGCTGCACTACGACAAGGAGGTCCAGCACGTCATCCCTGACGAGCTGTGGCAGGCCACCTCCGAGCGGGTCAGCGCGCGCGCCTACGACGAGTTGCCCCAGCACTTGCAGCACACAGTCGTCGGCAAGATGATGGAGCGGGACATGCTGGACCTGGGGCAACAGTACGACCGCTTCGCAAGCACCCTCGAGCTCAGCCTGCGCGAGAGCATCGGCATCCCAGAGGAAGAGCGTGGACGACATCTCGGGCACAGCAGGCCCCCGAGCTACAAGAGCGCGAGCATCAAGGACACCGTCACCTCTACGCCATGGGCAGGGGTCGAAAGGAAGATCCACGCGTGGTGGGCGGAGATCTCCTCCTTGGCGCGGCAGCTCTCGCACCATGATGCCCGAGCGCAGGAGGCAGCAGCAAGTCGACAGGGCAAGACCCAGGCACTTCCCGATGAGGACTCAGGAGGTGGACAGGGCCCGTCGGCGTCGGAGCTTGGCCCCGTCATGTCTGGCAGCCAGGTAGGCCACGAAGACGGGGTTCCCGCACCAGCCATGAGCCCATCGAAGAGCTCGGGAGGAAGCTCGGGGGATCGCGCCCCCACCGAGCGGGGCGAGGGCCCCCCCGAGCTGCAGCAGCGGCGTGCAGGCAGTGGAGGCGCAGCAGGAGGCGGCGGCAGTAGCACCAAGGACATCGCGAATCAGCCAGCACTTGAGGAGGTCCCCCCTCCTCAGGCTGAGGTCCAGGAGCTCACAGAGGGGCCAGCCCAAGAGAGCCCAGAGCGACCCTGCCTCAGCCCAGCATCGCCGCCAAAGGACGCGTCCTGGACCTCCGAGACGGGCACAGCTTGCCAAGAGACGAGGGCGAGGCGGCCTGGCCCAGAGAAAGAGGTAGGCCCCTCCACACTCTCCTCGGGGTACCCATCCCCCACACAGGCGAGCGCAGCGGACCATGGGAAGGCAGTTGGCCCCTGCTCTGAGATGGGTCAGGGGTTCCCGTCCCCCAAGTGCGCCGCCGCGGGGCGCGCCCCAGACCTCGACGTGGGACCAACCCACAGCAGCGCAGACAGCTGCACATAAGGAATGCAGAGGGGTGCCCTTCCCCCACCAGCAGGACGCAACACCATGGACATCCAAGATCACGACCCCTTCGAGGACGAGGAGGACTACTTGGAGTACCGCCAGGAGATCGCAGACCAGGAGAACAGCGACGGGTACCACCAGCACATCGAGGGGCAGCAGGACAGGCTTGAGTTCGGCCAGACCGTCCGCCGACGTGCAGCTGGATCTGCCTTTCCCCCACCAGCAGGACGCAGCACCATGGGCGCCCAAGACCACGACCCCTTCGAGGAGGAGGAGGACTGCCTGCAGCATCGCCAGGAGACCGCAGATCAGGAGGACTGCGACGGGCATCACCAGCTCATCGAGGGGCAGCAGGACAGCATCGACTACGGCCAGACCGTTCGTCGTCATGCAGCTGGATCAGGTAAAACTGCCCCAGGTGACACGCACTGCTCACCTCCTCAGCCAGCTGGCACTCTGGAGGCAGAGGGTACCGATCACCTGGGGAGTCAGAACCAAGCGCCGCCAGGCCCAGAGGCAGAGGAGCCACGCGATATGGGCCTGCCCCCACCAGACCTCTGGAATGATGACCAGCACCAGCGGGAGCGGGAAGACTACGTGGCCATGAGAGACGACTTGGAGCACTGGGCGGCCATCTGGATGGATAACTCGGTGCAGCTCCCCACGGACAACAGCAACTGGATGCAGATCTGTGTGCCGTTCCTGGAGACCATCTTGGGTGGCGGAGGCAACAATGGCATGGTGAGGCTGCTCAGGCGCAGGTACCAGCAGGCCGGCCTCAGCCACATCATCAGGGACCTCTGCGAGCGAGCATGGAGACATGCAGAACCACGACGCCGAGGCTTTCTCCAAGGTCTTACGCGAGAGGAGCCGACGAGGAGGCACGAATTGGAAATGATGCATTGGAGGGAGCTTGCTAACATGCGGAGGTTTATGCGAGAAGCCATAGGCGAACGAGCACCAGAAGGAGCAGCTCGAAGACAACTACATGATGCTCTAGGAGCAGGCAGTGGCCCGAGTAGCCGCCGAGAGCTGCAGGTCCGCACCCACAGCGGCCACCAGACGCAGCAGCAGATCAACACAAGACGGCAGCTCGCGCAGCAGCTCAACCAGCTTGACCCAGGCAGGCTGAGCGAAGAAGGTGCAGCCAAGGACCAGCAGCAGGCCCTCCTCACAGACCTGCACGCGATAGCAGAGGGCGCCCTCGTGGACCCAGGGACGATCAGCAGGGTAGCAGAGGAGGTTAAGAGCATGGCCAAGCTACTCACAAAGGCGGTGAAGAAGGCGTACAGCCACTGGGTGCACGACGCCACGGCAGGCAGTGCGAAGATGGCCCACGCCTACACCAAGGCAGCGGAGCGCAGCCACCTGGAGGACATCCTTGAGCACGAGGGCCAGGTCATCAACCACCCGCAGCAGCTGGTGGACTTGCGCAAAGAGGCATGGCAACGCAGGTGGACACGAGATGCGCAGAAGGCCGAGAGGAGCCAAGAGGCGCTGGCCAAGCTGAGGCAGGCGGCCTTGGCCCAAGAGAATGCCCCCGAGCCCATCAGCAAGGACATCATCGGCTCCATCACCCAGCACCTGAAGCGCAATGCTGGCCAAGGAGCGGACTGGTGGAGGGCTCCAGAGCTCAAGGCCATGGGCGCCCAGGGGCTGGAAGACTTCGTGCAGTGCCTGACCAGCTGTGAGCAACGGGCAGCGTGGCCGTGGCAATTCTACTTGGTGCTGGAGCTGCTGCTGGGCAAGAAGCCAGGAATCGGCGGTGAGCGCCCCATCGGCCTCATGCCCATGCCGTACCGCATCTGGAGCGCAGCCAGGAGGCCCATAGTAGCCACCTAGAGCAAGACAACAGCGGGCTTCTGGGACACGGCAGTAGCTGGCTCCTCAGCGCTACGAGTGGCAATGCACAGACTGATGAGGGCAGAAGCCGCCACGGAGATGGGCTTTCATGCAGCAGGAGTCTTCTACGACGCGGCAAACTTCTACGACAACATAGGCCTCGACCAGCTGATCGAGAAGGCCAGCGCCCTCCAGTACCCGTTGCTGCCGCTGGCAATGGCCGTGCAGATGTACCTTGCGCCCAGGGCCATCATGGCCCACAGCCTCTTCTCGGACATCTTCGAGCCTGCCAACAGCATGGTAGCTGGCTGTGGCCAAGCGGTCGACCTCACCAGACCGCTCTTGTATGGCATCCTGGATGCAGCGCACAGGCACCACATCTTCGTCGTCATGCAGCAGTACCTGGACGACTTGGCCCTGCAGGTAGAGGGTGCGCGGCGGCAGGTCATTGACCAGATCAAGCACGTGGCAGCGCTGGTGCACGATGGATTCAAGCAGCTCTCGATACCCATCTCCGTCAAGACGGCAGTGGTGGCCTCGGACAAGGACCTCCAGGCAGAAGTCGCCAGCATCCTGGACAGCCTGGGCACCCCCAACAAGCAACCAGGTGTAGTGCGCGACCTCGGCGTGGACACCAGCCTCGGCAAGCAGCTGCGGCGACCCACCCATGCCGCGCGCCAGGCCAAGGCCAAGCAGAGGGTGGCCAAGCTCAAGGACCTAGCGAAGACGGACGCCAGAGGCGCGGCAAAGGTCTATTCAGCAGGGGCCTACTGCCAGCAGGCCTGGGACTTGCCAGCGCACGGCATCACGCCCACGGAGGCGAAGTCGGTCAGGGCTACGGGGGCAGCGCTCCTCACAGGCGGACACAAGGCTGGACGCTGCACGTCCACCATCCTCCTGATCCAGAGGGGGACGCAAGAGGCAGTAACCCGAGCCATCGGCGGCCAGATCAAGCAGTTCTGGCTCACCATAGTCGACCACCCGACGGAGCTCAAGAGGTACCAGAGAGGTTGGCTCCTGCTCTACGCCAAGCTGGACGCCCTGGAACCCAACCGCCGGTGGCAGCAGGTCAAGGGGCCTATGGCAGGGGTCATCGCGCAGCTGCTTGGGTTAGGCTGGATACCGCGACGCCTGGACAGCTGGATCAGCCCAGCAGGAGACGAGTGGGCCTACAAGCCAGATGACATTCCTCACTTCGGCGCGCTCCTGCATGAGGTCCAGCAGAGCGCGCAGCAGCAGCTCTGGCAGCAGGCAGCTGGCCATCGCAGTGGAGAAGGACTTCAGGCTGGAGGCGACCTCTATCAGCTGCAGCGCCACCTGAGGAGGAGGAGGCGCAAAGGACAGCATGCAGAGGCAGCCATGCTGGAGACCATAGCGGTGGCGGGTATCTGGACCAGGGAGCGTCGCAGGGCGGCCAACCTCAACCAAGAAGGCGACGACACCTGCGCGAGATGCGGCGAGGCGATCGAGACAGAGGAACACCGCTACTACGCATGCCCTGCCAACGCAGAGATAGGGCACAGCAATGACACCGACCTGGCGAAGAAGGCGAAAGACGCGCTGGACCAGCGGCAAGACCTGCACTTCTGGCTCCGCGGCACCCCGCCAGCGGCCTGGGCAGCCAAGGTCGACCCAGACGAGGACGCGGCGAAGGCGGCGCAGATCTTCTGCACCAGCGAAGAGGCTCAGGCGGCAGCCCAGTCAGGGTACAAGGTTCGAGCAGACTATGTCTTCACGGACGGCTCAGGTGGTGCAGGGGAAACGGCCAAGGACCCCCGCCTCAGACGCTGCGGCTGGGCAGTGGTGGCCTCCAGGTTCGACGAGCAAGGACGCCCGCAGGAAGTGGCCGCCTGGTACGGCACGATCAGGGCACCGCACACGGTGCCGCGGGCAGAGCTCACCGCCATGAGCAAAGCCGTCGGGTACACCACGGCGGCGACGGCCAGGGGGCTCAACATAGTCAGCGATTGCAAGTACGCCCTGGACGCACTCAAGCAGATCCAGGATCCTGAGGACCTGGACTACAGGAGCACGAACTACGACCTCTGGCTCCAGACGAAGCAGCAGCTGCAGAACAGCACGGACACCATCATGGGCCACCACATCCCAAGCCACCTGATTGAGCACCCAGCCGAGCTGGAGAGGTGGAATGGTCCCACCTGGTGGGTCATTGGAAACGAGATGGCAGACAAGTACGCAGGCTGGGGAGCGGAGCATGGAGCACTGGATCCAGCCATCATCGCGCAGCAGCAGATCAGGGACCATATCACCATGGCGGTGCAAAACCGGCTGCTGGCCATCAACATGGCGGTGGCGGTGGAGGACCCCAATAAGGCCCCTCAGCGTCCCAAGGCCAAGCGCCGAAAGCCGCAGGCGGCAAGGGACAGGGCAGCCCAGCTGGGACACGACTTGCGCAAGCTACATCCGCGATGGTGGTGTGCAACGTGTCGCAGTGGCCCAGCCAAAGGACAAAACATCAAAGACTGGCTGGCAGAGACGGGAGAATGCCTCGGGAAGTACGGCGGCCACCAGGACCAACACGGCAACGTCGGGCTCGACTTCAAGGCGGTGCAGATCGGCACGCAGGTGGTGCACGTCTCCCACAAGACGCAGTTCACCCATGGCTGGCTCTGGTGCGAGAAATGTGGCGGCACCAGCTACCTTGGGGACCACAAGAGCAGGATCGTGGCAGGAGTGGCAAGGAAGCTGGCCAGGCCATGTCAGCCCCCAACAGCAGCAGGGAGGCGGGTCTTGGCGGACACGCAGAGGGGGCAAGCTGCCAAGAGGAGCGAAGCCAGCAGCAGACCCAGCTGATGAGGTTCTCAACGAGATCACCATGCCTGGTGATTTCAAGCTCGGCCTGAGTAACCACGAGGCGATCGACCTGGACGGGGGCAGCTCAGAGGCAGGGGACCCGCAGCCAGCTCCACAGCTGCCACCCAGCCATCCGCACTCTGTCGTCCAAGCCAGCTGGAGGCTCGTGGACCACATGGAGGGCTACGCGGAGCAGTGGATGAACATGGTCGACCAAGAGGTCTGGGACGACATGGACGACTGGATGGAGCACTGCGTACCGTACCTCCTGGCCATCACCAATGTGGGCGGCAGAACGGACACGCAAGAGCAGACCAGGGCCGTCACCGTGCAGGAGCTTCAGCAGATCAAGGACTTCTGCGAAGAAGTCTGGCGCAACACGCACCGCACGCGACGGAGGCTCATGACCAGGATGCTTACCCTCCCGTACGGTACAAGGCAGCAGGCAGCAAGAGTGCACATGGACGCTTTCCAGAACAGAAGGAACAACATCCTAGCGCACAGCATCTCCAGCAGCGAGCGCAGGCCGCTGCCGAGAACAGCGGAGGCCAGCCGAGAGTGGTCACCAGAAAACCTGGACGATGATGACTCGACCCCAGACAGTGGAGCCCCAGAGCTGGAGGGTGAGCCGAGCAACCAGGAGATGGAGACCATGGCAGGACCTGATCAGAGGAACGACGCCAACAGCCTGATGCAGACGGTCGTGCAGGTGGCAGTAGCGCTAACCAAGCCAGTGGGGCCCGACCTGATGAAGTTCGTGAGCGAAGCCGATGAAGCCGGCCTGCTCCACCCAAGGCTTCGACACAACAAAGGAGAAGCTGACCAGGACCCAGAGCAGGAGGTGGCGTGGCTCGAGAGGAACAGGCTCGAGCAGCTCATGCAGTCGCTGGCAGGCAGCTGGATCCAGAAAGAGGGCGAACAGGGCTGGCCATCGTGGCAGGCTGCGTGCGTGCCCCATGTGCTGAGGGCGCTGCGGACTGGCGTCTACCAGAGGCTGTTCAGCAACGTGTCAGGGCTGAGCCGCCAGCGCAGCCAGCGCCGAGCGGCGGAGGAGATCTGCCGCATGGCATGGCTCAACAGCGGAGAGGCGCGCAGGCAGAGCCAGCAGCAGGACCCGAAGGAGGCAGAGCGGCGCAGAGCAATGGCTGAGCAGTTCCTGGGCGTGACTGAGCCAGTGGTGAGGAGCCGCAGCCCGCGACCGCAAGCGGCAGTGCGAGTGCCAAGCAGGGCTCCAGCCAGACAGCCGAGGAGGAACCCAGAGGCCAGGGCCGCCAGCAGCCCCGCCGAGCTGCGCACGGCAACGCCAGCGCCCGAGCTCGAGAGGCCCAAGGGACCCAGGGTACCGCAGCCAGAGCGGCCCCTGGAGGCGGGAAGGGCGGAGGAGCAGCAGAAACCCTCCAGCAGGCCCCTGTGCGGAGAGGGGACAGGCCAGCATGGACCCCTGCGCGGCGAGGGGGTAGGCCGCAGAGAGCCCCAGCGTGGCGAGGGGTTAGGCCACAGCCCTGCGCCAGACGGGATGCAGAGGGGTGCCCGTCCCCCACCAGCAGGACGGAGCACCATGGACATGGCAGACCTCGACCACTTCCTTGAAGAGGAGAACAGCGAGGATTGCCTCCAGCAGCCCGTAGACAAGCAGGACAGCGACGACAACCACCAGCAGATCCCAGATGTACAGCACAGCATAGGGTACCACCTGGCAGACCGCAGAGGACCCCAGCGTGGCGAGGGGTTAGGCCACGGAGGACCCCAGCGCGGTGAGGGGTTAGACCGCAGTGCCAAAGGCAAGCAGAGGCTCGAGGCGGAGGTCCCTGACGAGCCCAGTGAGCATGACGCGAACTTTTTGACCAACAGTGTGGTAGACAGGACCTCGCAACTAACAGAGCGGACCCATACCCTGGGAAACCGACAGACTGAACGCGAGGGGGAGGGCTTGGCCCGTGGATACCACGTGAATCGCGAACACAGCGAGTGGCATAGTCGGGGGACCTCGCCTGAGCTAGTGGGCAGTAGCACCGAGGACGGGGACAGTGCGAGACTCGGCGTTCCCCCGCGTGGCGAGGGGTTAGGCCACAAAACTGCGCAGCCCGAGACGACGGCAGACTACGACGACACAGACCTGCAGCGGGACCTGGATAAGTTTTCCGGAGACTTTCCCCAGCGCGGTGAGGGGTTAGACCGCATGGAACCCTTGCGCGGCGAGGGGCTAGGCCACGGCAATCCCCAGCGCGGTGAGGGGGTATACCGCAGTGCCAAAGGCAAGCAGAGGCTCGAGGCGGAGGTCCCTGACGAGCCCAGTGAGCATGACGCGGACCTTTTGACCAGCAGTGTGGTAGACAGGACGTCGCAACTAACAGAGCGGACCCATACCTTGGGAAGCCGACAGACTGAACGCGAGGGGGAGGGCATGGCCCGCGGATACCACGTGAACCGCGAACACAGCGAGTGGCATAGTCGGGGGACCCCGCCCGAGCCAGTGGGCAGTAGCACCGAGGATGGGGACAGTGCGAGACTCGGCGATCCCCCGCGCGGTGAGGGGTTAGACCGCAGCAGGCCCCAGCGTGGCGAGGGGTTAGGCCACGGAGTACCCCAGCGCGGTGAGGGGTTAGACCGCAACGATCCCCAGCGTGGCGAGGGGTTAGGCCACGGCGGACCCCATAGTGGTGAGGGGTTAGACCGCAGCAGGCCCCTGCGTGGCGAGGGGTTAGGCCACATGGGACCCCAGCGCGGTGAGGGGTTAGACCGCAATAGGCAGGCCACGGAGCACCCCAGCGCGGTGAAGGGTTAGACCGCAGCAGCCCCCAGCGTGGCGAGGGGTTCGGCCACGATTTCCCCCAGCGCGGTGAGGGGTTAGACCGCACCGACCCCCAGTGTGGCGAGGGGTCAGGCCACGACGGACCCCAGCGCGGTGAGGGTTTAGACCGCAACAGACCCCTGCGTGGCGAGGGGTTAGGCCACCACGGAGCACCCCAGCGCGGTGAGGGGCCAGACCGCAGCAGGCCCCAGCGCGGCGAGGGGTTAGGCCGCGGAGGACCCCTGCGCGGCGAGGGGCTAGGCCGCAATGCACCCCAGCGTGGCGAGGGGTTAGGCCACAGCCCTGCGCCAGGCAAGGCGGCCGTGAAGGCCCACGAGTCCAGGGACCAGCGGCCAGGGCGGTCCCTGGAAGAGCGCAGAGCGGAGGAGCGGCTGCGGCCGTCCATCAGGCTGCTCCTCAAGCTCTGAGAGGGCGGCGGCAGCATATCTTCAGACTGCCGCCGCTCACGGGGCGACTCCATGAGTCATTGAGCGGCGGCAGTACGACGCCGTGAGATGAGGCCGCTGGCCCACCCCGCCTCGGGCCGTTCTGCCTGCGCGGGGTGCCGAGACCAGGGGCGCCCACTCACGGGCGGGAGCACGCGGGTTTAAACTCCTCCTCTTCCCCCACTCGCCCTTAAGGGGCCCGGGCGCATGCCCGCACAGGCGATCCGATCCGATCCGATCCTCTTCCCCCGCTCCTCCTTGGCTTCTTCCTTTCTCTCCTCCTCCTTCTCCTCCTCCTTGTTCTCATCCTCCTCCTCCTTGCTCTCCTCCTCCTCCTCCTCCTCCTCCTCCTCCTCGTCGTCCTCCCCCTCCATCTCCCTCCCTCCCTGTCCTGCGAGTGGGGAGGGCGCGGGACGCCCAAGCGCCACAGCGCCCAAAAGCGCCGGGCTTCGGGGCCGGCCCAGCGGCTTTGATTCGCAACCGAGACAGGCGGGCGGGGCGGCGAGGCAGAGGGAGCTCGGCCTCGAGGACCAGGACTACCTGAGGAGGCAGATGGAGGAAGGCGCCAGACGCTGCAACGGGGACGATCGCGAGGAGCAGGCGGAGGAGGAGGAGGAGGAGGAGGGAGAGAGGAGGGGGATGGGAGAATGGGGAGGAGGGGGAGGAGGGAGGAGGAAGAGGAGAGGAGGAGGAGGAGGAGGAGGAGGAGGACGGGGAGGGGGCGGAGGAGGAGGAGGACCAAGAGGAGGAGGAGGAGGAGGAGGAAGAGGAGGATGGGGAGGACCAGTGCAAACCCAAGGCGCAACAAAGATGTTGCAATACACCTTTCCTCCTAGCTCCATCTTCAGAGGCCCCTACAAGAATAAATGCTCATCGCAGGAAGTGGCCTATTGAAAGGCAGCCGTCCGAACATTTGCTTATGAAAAATAAGTCGGATTTTATCCACTAGGACTGCAAAAAGGGGTGTGTCTCGCCAGGACAAGAAACAGTACAGCACATCACAAAGTTTATTTGATACAGTTGACAGGGTTCAGTCACGCAGTTCCAGACATTGTCTAAGATTTCCAGATCGTGCCCAAACAGAATTCCTTGAATTTCAACGCCACGAATCAACATGACACTTGCGCCCTTGCAATCTTCAGCCGTGCCAGAACAAGATTCCTGGGACTTCAGCATTGCGAATCCACGTGGCCGCTGCGTCCTGCCAGTCCGCAGCCGTGCCAGAACACCATTCCTGGGACTTCAGCATTGCGAATTTCTTTCACCTGTTGCAAACAGTTAACAACGAATGTGCGCGGTGTTAAGGCGAGAGCCACAGTTTGAAAAGGAAGATTTCCAGATCGTGCCCAAACAGAATTCCTTGAATTTCAACGCCACGAATCAACATGACACTTGCGCCCTTGCAATCTTCAGCCGTGCCAGAACAAGATTCCTGGGACTTCAGCATTGCGAATCCACGTGGCCGCTGCGTCCTGCCAGTCCGCAGCCGTGCCAGAACACCATTCCTGGGACTTCAGCATTGCGAATTTCTTTCACCTGTTGCAAACAGTTAACAACGAATGTGCGCGGTGTTAAGGCGAGAGCCACAGTTTGAAAAGGAGCTGGCTTCCATCCGTGAAACTGTTGCAAGCCTTGGCGACGAGTGCGAGCGGCGCTAAGGCGAGAGCACCATTTCGAAAGCGACCCGCCCTTAATCGTTGACGCTGCTGCAGATTTCGAGCAGCAGGACCACAACTGGTGAGGAAGTCTTGGGCGAGACGCCCAGCCCAGCCCACAGACACGTCTGGGCACGCGGCAGGGGGAGTTCTTTGAGAGGAAAAGGACAAGGAATGGAGCAGGAGGAGGAGGTGGAAGAGTGGGAGGAGGAGGAGGAGGAGGAGGAGGAGGAGGAGGAGGAGGAGGAGGAGGGGGGGAGGAGGAGGAGGCAGCAGGAGGAGGAGGAGGAGGAGGAGGAGGAGGAGGAGGAGGAGGAGATCGGCGGCGTCGCCGAAGGGGGAAGTGAGAGACGGGGGCAGGCTTTCTCAGAAGGCGCCAGAGTTCCGAAGAATGCTCAGCAGGCTCCGCAAAAGGCTGGAGGCCTTCGAAGCCTCCTGAGGAGGCTTCCCCCCTGGGCCTCCCGCTGTTCAGACTTTCTTCCCCCCCTGGGCGCGTCGCTGACGCCAGGCACTCGGTGAGCGCAGCTGCCGCGGCCGCGAGGTGAGCTATCGCGCCGCGCGCGCGGTGCCGCGCCAGAGGGGCCACCTGCTTGCTGCGAGCCACGGGTCGGCCAGCGTGCGGTGCACAGGCGACGTGGCCTGGCCGCCTCGCCTCGCGGCCGGACCCCCTCGGGTCGTGAACAGAATCGCGGCGGGAGGTGTTCGACTAGACGTAAGAGTGACCTTTCGCCGGAGTGACCCTTAGTGCGGGCACAGATGGGTCCCCAGATGGCTAAAAAGCGAGGCAGTAGCAGCTGCTTGCGCGCCCAGGTTTGGTCCCCCCGCGGCCCCCCAAAAGGTCGCGCACCAGAGGTCACTCTTGCCGAGGTGTGGGATCACTTTCGGCCCCTCCGGGCCCCTCGCTGGGCCCCGGGGCCGGCCAAGAGCGACTCGGGGCGAAAAGCCCCGGCGAAGGCGTCCCAACATCCGGGGGCTTACTTCGTGAGGAAGTGACGCCGGGGGGTTGGGAGGCTTGGGGGGGAGGCGGCAGGGGCGGATGGCCAGGGGGGGGAGGCAGCAGGGGCGGAGACAGCCGAGGGGGGGGGGGCATTGCACGTACGCGCCCCCCTGGGAGCCTCACACATGGACGATCGGCGCCCCATGGGTGCACGGAGTGGTGCTCTCCCATGAGCTGTCCGCGCCTGTTGCAGCCGCCGAGAGGCGGGGACGCCGTGGAAGGCCGCTCGGCACGAAACAGCGGGGTAGTTGGAGTTTGGACGAGGGTGCCTTGAGAGGCAGCAGGTCTGGAGCGGGCGAGGGTATGGGGGAGGGAAGGAGGGAGAGATAGAGAGCGAGAGAGAGAGAAGGGGAAAGGGAAGTTAATGATGAAGTGCTATGCATGTAAACATTCGTGCGCATGTGCAGACATGTGTATGTTTACATTCGTTCATTCATACATATATGTACTACATGTGTACGTATGCGCTTGTAGGTGAAAGCGCATATGGTGGGTACATGGAAAAGGTGGAAGGAGAAGAGAGGGGCAGGTGGAGAGATGGCGCAGTGAGTCAGAGAGAGGGAGAGGGAGAGGGAGAGGAAGAGGGGGGGAACGAAAGAGAGAGAGAGAGAGAGAGAAACAACAAAAACGAGAGCGAGAGAGAGAGAGAGAGAGCCGTTATGAATAGGAATTGCCGTACACTTTCCTAGCCCAGTGTTTAAGCAAGAGTGCGAAAAGGTATGAGCATGCAGTTCACCAGGGGTGTCCAGAGATATCCTCATGTTGAAAAACACCGCCCTCCCATCCGTGCAAGTGGCGCATAGGTTCACATGTCTGGTCATGAGCTTCGAGGAGGTCTCATCGGAGAGCCCCAATTTGATAAGGAGCCGTCCTCCAGCCGTGCAATTGCTACATCAGCTGAAGCATCTGGCCTGTTCCAGGATGTTTCAAGCGATAGCCCCATTTGGAAAATGAGTCGCCTTCCAGTCTTGCAGCGGCTGCAAGCTTTTCAGACGAATGCGCGCGCTAAGGCGAGCTCGCCATTTTGAAAAGGAGCCACCCTCGATAAAGGTAGCTGCTGCAAAGCTGAAAGACAAAAGTCAAAGCGCACAGCGCTAAGGCGAGAGCTCCATTTTGAAAACGACCTCATCCCTCCGTGTAACTGCTGCGAGTTTCAATCTTCATGTTTAATACATTGTGGCGAAGTCTCAGGTGAAACGCCTGGCCCGCCCTACGGGTACGTCCGGGGGTGCGACAGGAAGAAGTCATCGATATGGAAGAGGGATGCAGGCGGAGGAGGAGGATCATGGTGGAGGGAGAAGGGAGGAGGTAGGAAAAGGGATGAGGGAAGAGGGATGAGTCATTTATAAGAGTCAGAGTATGGCGTTGCGCTGATTCGAAAACCAGCGCTACCCGCTGAATTCCTTGAAGCTCCATTGCGCCCGATCAGCATGATGGGCTGTCGCAGCGCCTTTAGACTGTTTGCGCCTTCTTCCTTCTCTTCGCCTCCCCTTGTTCCTTCCACTCCTCCTCCTCCTCCTCCTCCTCCTCCTCCTCCTCCTCTTCCTCCTCCTCCTTCTCCTCCCTCGTCATCCTCCTCGTCCTCGTCCTCCACGTCCTCCTCCTCGCTCTCGTCGCTTTCCTTCTCCCCCCACACGCCTCCCCGTGCTCCCGCTCTTCGCCCTCGCCCGCGCCCCTCTCCTCCGCCTCCGCCTCCTCCCCCGCCTCGGGCCGCCCCGCCGCGCGCTCCTCCCCCCGTGCTCCTCCGCCGTGCTGCTCCTCCTGCTCCCCTGCGGCGCACGGGCTCCCCGCTCTCTTCCTGCAAGGGGACAGCGCGGCGGCGGCCTCCTTTGAGGGGCTGGAGGCTCCGCCCTGCCCCGGGCGGGGCCTCGGGCAGCGGCCTCGGGAGAGCGCGCCCCTGGCCCTCGGCGAGGTGCTGCCAGAAGGTGCCCTGGGCCCCACTGGCCGATTTACTCCCCTAGATGGGGATATCGGTCGTTCCCTTCAGGTTTCTAGGGGTGTATCCCCAACTGGGGTGGTAGTTTGGTGGGGGTCTCGAAGGGGATGGGGATGGGGATGGGGATTGGTGAAGCGATACCGAGGGAAGACCGTATTAGCAGCCGCGGATTTGCCAGCCCTCGCCCAGCTTCTGGATGGCGCCAGAGGCCAGGGGGCCCTGACTCCAGATCCGCCCTACTTTGGCTTTGTTCCCCACTTAAAATTGCGTCGGAAATCCACCTGTAAGAAGCCGAAAAAATAGGGCGGGAACTTGTTGCGCCCAACACAAAAGAGGGCGGAACTCCACAGAAGTAGGGCGGAAACAGCCACAGAAACGTGGGGCGGAAACTGGCATCAGCGGGGCTTGAAAAGTCAGGCGGGAATTCCAAGCCCTGCTTACGCATCTCCCCAAAGCAGGGCGGATCCGGAGTCGGGGCTGGCCGAAGGGGGCCTCCGGGTGCCGCCAGAGGGTGCCCCCCAGGGAGGCCCCGCGGCCTCTGCAGGGCACCCCTCTCGCGATGCACAGAGGGCCTCGAGAGAAGGCGAACAGCAAAAAAGGCACACAGGTTTGAGCGATCGCGCGCGATCGCCCCCTCCCCTCATGTCCCCTCCTGCTTCTGCCAGAAATGGGCGCTGAACGCATGCAATCCGCAAACATGGGGGAAGTAGGTGGAGCCCGCGCGACCCCATATGGGGGGCCCTTTTCGCAAGTGGCATTGCTTTGTATTGCGGTGCCTTGCATTGCTTCGCAGTGCTTCGCATTGCTGTGCATTGCTTGGCATTGCATGGCATTGCTTGGCACTGCTTGGCGTTGATTCTCGTTGCTTGACGTTACTTGTCATTG